AATGCTGTTTTAGGAATGAATTCACCATGAGGGCATGGATTCCTCCTAACTCTCAGAGTGAAGTTATAGGCACTAAAATATCAGTTTTCACATAAAATAGTATAAAAGAACTGGTTCCTACACATCTGAATGGGGGGCACATACAGTCTGATAAAAGCAATTTTGCAGTCCAAAAAGGATGGACTCTGATTGACACGAATGAGGCCCTTGAGAAATCTAAGCATGATCAATCCAAACACAAGAAGACTGCACGATTTCCAATCAAAGGAGAAGAAACTGATGTAAACAGAACATGCTAGAGCTGATGATTAGACTAGATTTCTTAAAGGATCAAAAGTAGTCAGATCAGTTTAGCCAAAATGCCAATGCAAGAGTGTTAGCAGGCACCTCAGTCACTACCATGCTTGTCAGCTTAGCAGCACTTGATCCAGACCTCAAATTACCTTTCAGTTAAAAAATATAAACTAGAACAGGCAGGACTGGCAAGGACTCAATAGACAAAAAGACAGTCATGTTATTAAGAATGAGCCTTGTAAAGCAGTATAGGACTCAGATGTACCAAAGATCTTGCAGGATTTGTAATTCTGTTCACTGAGTTCCTTTCACAGCTGACCCTGAGCTACAAAAAGAGAAGAATTTGATTCCCTCTCCTGTCATTTACTAGGAAAAGCATACAAATGCATATCCAGAAACACATAGTCCTGAAACAAAGATGTCCTACAGAGGACTCACCTTTGACAAGCAACAGTCACCTTGATGGGGAAGAAGACAATCTGAGCCTCGCACACTGATTATACCACCTTGGAAAAGCATTCATATCAGACACATACAAAAAACCAAAGAACTCTCATACTTACCAAGGAACAAAAAATCCATTCTGCCCTAAACTCTAAGTCCATGAACAACTGGAACTAAAAGTAGCCCAGTATGCACAGCAGCAGATGTGGGAAAGACTCCATATTCTGACCTTGGCAACAGGAAATAAGCAGATCCAATGTACTTTTCCTCCTCTTACATTTGGTCTACAGTAGAGCTACAACTGTGTCATACCATGTTTTTAACCTATTTCTGCATAGAACAGCAGGAGGATTTGTGGAGAATCCCCGAAGACCACCAAGATCTTTACTTAAACACAACCTCCCCAAATCACTGGATTCCTTCTGGATGCCCATCATCTAGCAAAGTTGGCCTACCGTTCTTCCCCTTTTCCCAGGCTTGGCAGGTTAGCTCACAGTTCTAGGCTCTATCTTAAAATTTTTCTCTCTATATCCTCAGTGAGTTGTGCAAAACTCATGTGTTTGTACATGAAGAGCTTTCCAGCTCACTGTGGACATTAAACTACAGGGAAAACATGACGAGTTTCTGAAACTGTTAATAAGGTAGCATTCCTCTGCTGCCTTTAATCCTTCATTTCACAAGATCCCAGAGCACTTTACAGATGTAAACACAGAGCTGCTCACCCAGCAGTCCTGGGGTGGACTGTAGCTGCTCTAGGTCATGACTGCACTGTTTTTACTCTCACCCATGCTGGGCTCTCCCTCTTGCTCTGCCACCCCGTGGCTGTTCAACTGTTCAACAGGCAAGGAAAGTACCCACTGCCCAGAAAGAGAGGTCTCATACAGGCCAGGAACTTCACTGGTGGAGGTGGCTCACTTTTCCACAGTCAGGTACTTGCAACCAATTAAAACAGGATTTAAGAAACAGAGCTGTTTTCAGAAGAGCCAGAGATACACCCAGAAAGAACACTGGTACCTCAGGGTTTGGTCAACAGACTGCAGTTGATGGCTCTGTCCTAGTCATTAAATGAATTGTCTAAATCTCAATGTATGAGATTTTCTCAAGCTTCTATTTTAACAGAAGCCATTCTTTGAGAGTTGGTTTGCAAGCCTGATTCAAACCCTTCATTCTCAGTTCCAGTGCATACCCCCTTTTTAGGTGGGGAGACAGCTTTGATTCCAAGCAAAGGATGCCACCTACTGAATTCTTGCTACCACGAACACAGCTTTGACCCTAATGGCTCCAGACCTCTGGCATGATCACAAGCCAGACTGCAGTCCCAAAATAAATTCCACAGAAAAAGTAGAAAACAAGCTTGTAAAAACAAAGCTTTTCTCCCTGCTACTCTCCCCTCAACCCAAAGATGTATTACTCACCAAACATCTGCACAGCCGTAATAATTTCTAGTTTTGCAACACTGACAACCTTAGCAGTACTAAAAAGCACTCCTTACATCTTTATTCCATTTTGGATTCATTATAATAGAGTCTGACAATGTATCCTAGTACAGTACATTCTGCAACATTTAACCCATGTTCCCAGTTGCCGTTCTTAACTTCACGGCTTAATGACACAGAGTCAGTAGATCACAATATGACCCTGTTAATATTTTTTTAATGCCATTTTTACAAATTACAGCATAATGCACTGATTATGAGGATGAAAGGAAAGTCTCCACGTCTGTCTGGAAACCAAATAAAAGAATGTTTGAACATCTGTTCATCCTACAAATGTCTTTAAAAGCTTTGATTTTCCCATAATCATTTTGTTCCACCATTTCACCCTTTTTCAAATGTGTATCCAACAGCCTCAGGACAGCAGCCAGAGATCTGCAGTAATAGCACATTATAATCAAAGTTCTTAGGCACACTTAAGTTCTCCTTTTGGAATTCTATATTGGGAAAAACACAAAACCAAGCCCCAATCTTCAACAGATTCCTCTCCAGCCCTCCGTCCCCCACAAACAAAGGGGAGCAAAAAGAGAGGATGGGGCTTTGCAACAGGGGCAAAGCAGGAGGACAGGATACAGCAGCAACTGAAGGGACTCGTGAGGCACAGCACACACCCCTCAGCACGGCTCCTGTGGGTCTGTGGTAGCTGTCCAGGAGACTCTACCCAAGTCACAGCCTGAACAGAGGCAGCTACTCAACGCACACAGGGGCTGGTTTGAGCTGAAGGGAAAGAACCTTCCCCACCATGCTGGGCTCCCACAGCAGGTGTTGGGAGCCCTGCCAGCACCCAAATTTACATCTCCTTCTCCAGAGGCAAAAGCAGAGCCAGAGCAAGGAGAAGCAATGATAGGAAACAGGAGGACTGAGGAGGAGGTTAGGTCTTGAACTGAGGGGAAGAAGGAAAATGCTGAGTTAGTATGTTAGTTTGGAAATGAGATGGAATATTGGGGGAAGATTTTAAAAGTATGTTTATAAGAGACTGGACAAGAATAGGATAGAGGTCCAACTCTGGAAGTTGTTGCTGTTCCCTCCCTTGGAGTGCCCCAAGCAAATAAACCATGGGACGCTCGGCACTAGGAGTCCTTTCAGGCAAGCAGAGGGCTGCTAATCTACCGTTCAGGGTTAACGAGTTTTCAAAGCGACCAAGTTCCGTAACAGCAGACTCACTGGCCAATCCACAGTGCAGGAGGGTAAAACATTAATTAGGTGGTCCTTTGTAAAAATACATATTCCCATTTACACTGACAGCCTCTTCTCCAGAACTACTCAGAAATGCCTTAGAAATGAGGAAGACAAAAACCTGTAACTGCAAGGCTAACAACTCTGGAAGTACCTCTCCTGATAACTCTCCTTTTCTTTCTAATACTCCAGAGCTGGCAGAATTTAGCAACCCATTTAAAATTTGGCATTGACACCAGAACTACACAGATACAAGTAGAAGTTCCTTAACAAATTTTTTTCTTTTTTATGAGAAGGTTTTTTTCTACCAATCATTCTTAGACTAACCTGGGATGATGATAACACCATTCCTTCTATGTCATCTGTTTCTCTGTGTTCCATCACTGCAGCATCTTAGGCAAAGGTAACAGTGCAGAGTACAAAACAGGATTTGATAAAGGCTTGAAAGAAAGATAACATTATAAATGTTCTTTCCAAAGACTGCCTTTGGGGGTGTCTGGGAAGAAGTGAGAAATGGGGAAGGAGAGGTGACAGGGGTGTGAAATGCATTTTTTCCATTACAGAAGGATACATTTTCCAGCAAGGCTGGTGGTGCAAGACACGCTAAGCCACAGCTGAAGTTGCCTGCCTAATTCCTCTGGGATCACACTGAAAGCATACCCCATAATCTTAAGGGATGTGCTAAAGCTTTGCTAGGACTCACTCAGCAGAAACTGTTTGGGATTATTACACAAAGCACTAATTCTGTTCTGATTTAAGGGGGCACCATGAACCTAGTTTAGACACCAGACTTGTCCGGTCTCACGTCCAGCTGTAAATATCCTCTCAACAGCTGACAGCTTTGTCATTTTTATCCACTTTGGTTACCTGGAAATTAAAAGGAAAAGATTGAAAAAAATCAGGATTGTGTTAGCATGATGGACTGATGCCCACCAATGAATAATTAATGATTAATGAGTGCAGAAATTTATTAGTTATTTACTTCCATGTGCAAGTAATGCACTTATACTATACACACGGTCACCGTCTATGGCTGACTTCACTGAATGGGTCAGAGGCTGCTATTTAGCATCAACAAGAGGTACTCTTTTTGTTCAAAAGGCAGGAACTAACATTTTCCATGCTGACAAGCCCAAGTCCAATTTCTGTTCCACACCACAGCTTTCGTACCAGTAGAACTGTCGTGAGTCTTCACGTTAAGGTGGTTTGTACGTAACAAAGAAGGGATATTACCAGTGCTCTCCTTTTTATGAGCCTGGGACACGAAACAGAGGAAGAACTAAAGTAGCCATGAAATCCCTATTAAACAACTAATGGTTTCTAAAGCATCATGGAGATATTCATTTTACAAGGCTTATGCAGCAATCTTCTATCATTATTTTAATGAAATAAAGCCCTTGACTAGTTCCAGAGGCAACTTTTTCTTTCACACACAAAAGACGTGGTTACAAAAAAATCCAGCAACAACAAAAACTAGCTCTGGAATAGGAATCTCTGCAGAACAGGCAGGAAATTCAGAAAAGTTATATAAAATGTCACTGAAGATAGGTTCTGAACCTTTGCAACAGCAAACAGAATAATTAAGACTCTCAGTCACACACATTATTATGTTTAATATGAAAAACATTTCTAGATATAAATCATATTTATAAAAAACATCCATACCATCTCTCAGATAGCATCTTACATAGCTGCAGCTGAAGGAATGTGAAACATCCATTTTAGGTTTCACCTATTAAACTGTGTGCTTTCTGTCTTCCCCTTTGCTCAGGGAAGTAAGCCTAGAATAATCAGCTTCACTTTGTGGGTCAAATGAAATTCACATCCTGACTTGATTTAGATTTATATTGGTGGTAAACTTCTAAATCAGGAGAAACTTCAACACAATTCCCCAGAAAAACAGTGCAATTACAATGTACACCCCAATGTGCTCCTCTGGCAGGTGACATTATCTGAGATGCCACGAAGATTCACATCACAAAGATGAAAAAATAAGCAAATTCAACAGAACAATATGAGACTGCAGAGATCATGGAAGGGGGCATATAATCAGCAGGAGCTTCCAGGCTCTGTTGGTGAAGAAGGAACAAGTCTGTGTTCAGAAAAGAAATACATTCCACTTCAAATCATTTCAGTCCAGACTTTTCAGGTGCTATTAGAGGCTTCCCTTACTTTCTCAGGATTGAATCATTTTCTTCTGTGTGTCAAAGACATATCTCTTAAAGCTAAGAGAGATAGTAACAGGTTGGGCTGAATCATTCTTGCTGCTTTCATCTTCCTTGGTCATATCCCCCTTCCCTCCCTTAGATTTCTTCTTGGAGGCAACAGTAAGAAGTATCTTGGTATCTGGCTTCAGTCCATCTGTAAAAGAACAGGAACACATAGTGTAAACACAACATCACATTTCAGTATAACTAGAAAAAATAAGCAGCCAAGTGTACATCTGAAATCAACCAAGGAAAACAAGAAAACAAATCAGATGCATTAGGAAAGTCATATTTCTGCATCACACTTTTGGAATATGGTAACCTACATGGAAAATAAGAGAAGTCTTTAAACATAACAAAAGTTCACAAAAGTGATACCCCCAAATCCAGTGCAGTATCCTGAATCCTTCTGTTTCCATCTACAGCTTTGAAACTATTAAACGCAAGCAAGAATTTAAACAAGCCAGACCAACTTGCCTGGTCTAAGCCTTTTACTTAGCAGGCCTTTCCTTTCCTATTATTTACACCCAAAGCTTACATACCCAAAGTTTGTCATCACTGAGAATATTTACAAAAACACAAATAATGGAAAAAAAAAAAAACAAACCAGTAAAATACTAAAATTATGTACAGTCATATGAGTCAGAAGGTTTTAGAATTTCTTTAAGTCTATTTCCCAGATCTACCAGAAGCACACTGCTTTATTTTATAATTTGCACTCTGCAAATTATACAGTTTTGTGTTTGTTTAGGAGGGTTGTTTGTTTTTGTTTGCTGGGTTTTTTGTTTTGTTAAAACACGTTGTTTGCTTATTGGAACAAATAGCCCTGTTTGTTGGAGCTAGAATTAACCTGCATAGAATTCTGCAGATCTAACTTGAGTCTTTCTCCAGACATTTGTGCCAAACAAAAATATTTGTCCTTTTCTTGCTAAACAGTCAGGGTTTATAATACATTCCTATAACTCATCATATTGGTGACATCTGAGATAAGAAATGCAGGATAGCAAAGTCCAAAGAAATGCTGTAAAACAAGAGAGATGCAGCTCCTAAAGGACCACTCCTGAAAACTGCTTGTATAAAGCAGAAGACAGCAAACTCCTCAGAAGCTTTTCAGTGCCACCTGAATATAGTGCAATGTGGTTCTCAGGCACCTGGCCAAAATCAGTTCAGATATTTTTAACCTGTGGTGTCACATAACCTTATCTCAAACACTTAATCAGCCTCTCTCCCCTCATATTGAAATTCAGATGCGGATTCTCATATCACGGCCTGACAAAAAGATTGAGATGCTTATGATTTACTGGAGACAGGAGGTCTACAGGCACAGGTGATTTGCTCCAGCTCAGACACATCCAGAGGCACTCACAGCTGATTGCAGGGGGATGTGGCCCCAGAGTCCACCTTCTCATCTTGCTGTGTCAGAGAGTAAATTGTTCCAGGCAGCATTCCCACCACACGGCCAAGGGAAAGGAAGAAACAAGGAAGTGTTGAAGCAAAACCAGGAAACTGCCCATTTGCCATCTCATAACCAGATGCTGTAAACCAGCCCTAAGGCCCTGCAGTGCAGCCACAGGGAGACTTTTGGAGAGAAAGGAGTCAGTTTTGCTTTTATGTGGGGGGAAAAAAAATTAAAAATGCAAGCACCCAAAAGAGAAGGAAAGGAGCAGTAAATAAATTACAGCCTACACTAAGGCTGCAGGAGTCCAGCATCAAGCAGAATCAACTTTGTACAGTTCTGCAAGATCTTGCATTTCACAGTCATGGCAGCTGCTGTTTTCTCTTTCCAGATGGCAGAACACAAAAAAAGCAATGATTATTTCATTGTGAAAATAATTGAGACTGTTCCTCCTTGATGGCTGAGAAGTCTGATAATGACTATCTTTGCACGTGTAAGGTTCAATTAATCAAACTAGGTAATATGGGGTGGCGGGACCACATATTTATTATATGATTTTATTACATTGTATAGTCATGTTTGATGCAGCTGTTTCGATTTTTTAATTGGATGCTTTCATATAAATCCCATTAATATCATTACCCTTACAATCATTCCAACTTCACTGCAAAAAATAATTTATCACTACATGAAAAGCAACTTATTTCCTAATTGGAAAGCTCTGAGAACATCTTGGGTGCTGCCAGAAAAAACCAGCAAGAGTCAAAACAGAGGAAAACAAAATAAAACCAGCAAAAAGATGACCTCACACAGCCTCACTCTATACCTTTACAGGATTTATTTCATATTTTCTGTTTTCTACTGTTTTGACCAACCTAATTGTAAATTTCCCTGCACAGGGTTTCCTCCACTTTCCTGAGAAGACCATTTATTTTTTGGACAAAGAAACATTTAATTTTGCTTTCTAGTTGGTTTCCCTTTCTGGGTCTTATCACCATTACTAATGTTGCTGTTACTGGCACAGCACTGTTTAAGAAAGATGTTTAACTAAATCCTTTCAGAAAGACACACTTTAATTAAAGCAAACAAATCCTAAAACACTTTTATTTATGTTAGCAGGCTTTGCTAGACTCTAATTTTCAAAAAATGCTAATTGGCGGAAAAGAGAGAGGAAGGGAGGAGATACGGCATTAAAATTGCAGCCAAAATTTTCTCTTATTGGGTATATGAAGTGAGGCACCCAGGCTGTGACTGCAAGCCCTTGCCCACAGGGACACAGGGGGGTGATCCCCCCAGGGAGGGTTGGTCTCTCACCCCAGAGAGACACTTGGCTGCAGCAACAATTTGGGAAAGTCTCAACCGCGAGGGTGAAATAACCACTTTGGGTAAAACAAGCTTCAAAAACTGCCAGTGACATCAGTGGGACAGCCCGACATCAGAAACCGGGCACAGCACGTTCGGTGTTCAAGCAAAGCATCCCATGTTTGAAAGTTTTCATTTTGAAGAAAAAAGGATGTGCTGCACATGGAACTCTGCTGGGGAAAATGTATTTAAAACTGTGCAAATCTCACCTCCTCCACTCTATCGCTAACTTCCACATAGGAGAAGTAAAGGTACATATACCTCACCCGCAGCCCTTAACACCTCTTTGGACTAAATGAGGTATTACAGGCAAGAGGTTTGCAGAAGAAATGGAAGAACGTGGTAGTTCCAAACAGTGAAATGACGGGCTGACAGCCAGAGGCAGCTCAGGTATTATTAAACTCAAGGTATCTAAATTACCTAATCGGATCCCGTGGCCCTCATTCCGCAAACAGATTAGGTGGCTGGCATCGTACCCTGACAAATGGCATTTTCTGTGTTTCTGCTCTGGTGCCAGGAGGTCTCAGGGCTGAGGAGGCTCTGTGACAGGGAGCAGCACAAAGGAGCAGGCAGGGAGAGACAGGCACAATCGGGGTTTCATCTACCTCCGCGGATTTCTCGCGTTACACACAATGCATACTTTACATTTTACAAAACCAAGGAAATGAAGGGAAATATATCTGTCACCGAAGAAGACATCAGACCTTTAATAGCTGAAATGACGGATATTTTTAGATGAAGGTCTAGTTTAACTTACTTACATTAAGGGTCTAATCTCTCCTGAACAATAGCTATGTTAGCTTGAACACACAGTGCGAAATCTGTTCCATTAATTAAGTGCTGCCTGTACTACTCGGATTTGTAGTAAATGTTAATAGATTTTTTTTTTCTTCCTCTGTTGGACAATTACTTTATTTTGCCAAGTTACTAATGGATTAAATTGAAAAGGCCCGTGTGTTAAAAAGAAAAAGACTTCAGCTTTAAAGTTCTAAGAAATGCTTTGCACACAACAATGGAAAATACCTATATATTAATATTATTAATGGGCCATCCTCAAAGGCACATAAGATATGCGAAAGCTTAGCAAATTTATTCCCACCTATCAAAACCATGTCTGTAACAAGAAGTACCCAGACAAGGTCTTATGCAAAATGTACTTTTAGCAGCAACTAACCCAGGTTACACATGAAAATCTAGTTGTAAAACAATTTAATTTACTTCATTCTTTTTGTTTCAACTACTGTTAATAATTAAGAAACAAAAATAAAAATATCCTTTGTCTCAGCATGGCCTGAAGGATTTAGTCCAAACTGATCCATTTATAAAATAATAATAAAAAAAGTGAATTTTTTCAAAATTCAAATGAAAAGCAATACCACATCAGGAAAAATTTTTCAATTCTAAGACAAATTTCACATGCACAAAATAAAGGATAAACACAGTCCTTTACACGATTTTCACAGATCGAAAGCTAGCACCTTAGTGATTTGCTATATCTGATATAGTTAAGTACATTCGAGTTTTATAATTATTCATGCAAGAAATTTGCATAGAAACATGCAAATGTTTTTCTATGCAATAACTTCATATGGAAATTTCACACTGTGGAATTCTGGACCCCTTCCTGTGTATAGATAAAGAGAATGAATTTAGCTCCGTTTCCTCCCCCCAGTGAAGAAGTTTTAAGTTTCTCTAAAGCTTTGTTTTCTCTTTACACTAATCCAGACACCAGAGCAGGGCGATGAACACCCTCCTGTGGATCCCGTGGGACACTCCACACCAGCCCTGCCAGGAGCGCTGACCAGGACACAAATCACCAGACAAACACAGTCATAACCAGCAGGGTTTGCTTTTGCTTTGTTTTTCCTACTTCTTCAGCTGAAAGGAGGACGAAAGTTGACACAGTATCTGCTCCTCTAACTCCTTTGCAGGGTGAAGGACCACCACCATGCTTTTTGCCCATGTACATTTTTATTTCAACTGTTACCTGTAAACTTGGATTCTACTTTACCTTTTACATAACTTCCCCACTTCACATCCTCCTTCACTTAGTGCTGTTATTCCTTATCAACATCCTCTGTCAGCTTTGTTGACTTTTCTCTCTTACTAGCCTTCTGCTCTCCTGCTCCTTCAAAAGGTCTCTAAGGGTGGTCTCTGCTATTTCTCTCTAATTTTCAGCTCCTCCTTCCTTGACTCCCAAATTGCACTTGCTATTCAGCCCTTCAGGAGTCTTATTTCTCTCTCTCGTTTTCTAACTTTCTTTTTCAAATCTTCCATTTCTGTATTTCCATTTGCTATTTTCACAGATCTCTTCAATATTTAGGAATAGTCCTGCCTCCATCAAAGCTAATGAAACGTTGTGTTTGAACGGAAGATTCTAAAGATTGAATGCCAGA